CTAAAGGTGAGCAGAGTAGGTGATAGTCTGATGGATTGGGGTAGGGAGTTCCAAAGGATGGGGGAAGCCCTGGAGAAGTCCTGGAGACAAGCATGGGAGGAGGAGACCAGGGAGTTAGAGAGTAGGAGATTTTGTGAGGAGCGGAGAGTACGTTTTGGGGTGGTATTTGGAGAGAAGATCGGTAATGTAGTTTGGGGTAGTATTATGAACAGCTTTATACGTCAATGTTAGCGTTTTGAATTTTATCCGTTGGGCAATGAGAAGCCAGTGGAGGGATTGGCAGAGAGGGGTGGCAGATACGGAGCGGTTAGTAAGGTGGATGAGTCTGGCCGCAGGATTCAAGATAGACTGAAGCGGGGATAGCCTGCGATGAGGTAAGCCAATGAAGAGGGAGTTACAGTAGTAAAGGCGTGATATAATAAGGGAGTGAATGAGTTGCTTAGTGGTTTCCGAGGTTAGGAACGGACGTATTTTGGAGATGTTGTGGAGGTGAAGTCTACATGAGTTTGTCAGCAATTGGACCTGGGGCTGGAAGGACAGATTAGAGTCTAGGATGACACCTAGTACTCTGGCTTGAAGGGTGGGACTGATGGTAGTGTTGTTGGTCTTGATGGAGAAGTCAGGGTGGGGGGGGGGCGCGGGCTGGGGGGAAAACTAGGAGCTCCGTTTTGGAAAGATTTAGTTTGAGGAAGTGGAGTGACATCCAATCCGATATGTCGCTCAGTAGGCTTGTGATACGGGCGGAGACTGAAGGGGTGAGGTGAGGGGTAGAGAGATAGATTTGCGTGTCGTCGGCATAGAGATGGGAGTTGAAGCCGTGGGAATGTATCAATTGGCCAAGGGAGGAGGTATAAATGGAGAAGAGAATGGGCCCAAGGACAGAGCCTTGGGGGACCCCAACAGAGAGGGGGAGTGAGGGGGAGGTGGCAGCGTTATAGGTAACATTGAAGGAGCGCTGTTATAGATAGGAAGAGAGCCAGGAGAGAGCGGAGTCTCTGAGGCCAAGAGAGTGTAGTTTTTTGAGGAGGAAGGGGTGGTCAACCGTGTCGAAAGCCACAGAGAGGTCGAGGAGTAGGAGCACTGAATAGTGGCCATTAGTTTTGGCGGCAAGCAGGTCGTTGGTGAGTTTGAGTAGGGCAGTTTCGGTGGAGTGTAGGGGGCGGAAGCCAGACTGCAGGGGATCAATAAGGTTTTTGTCGGTGAGGTGGGAACTCAGGCGATTATAGACTAAGCGCTCTAGGAGTTTGGATGTAAAATGGCAGCAGGGAGATGGGTCTTAGGTTGTTCAGGTCGGTGGAATCCAGGGTGGGTTTTTTAAGTATGGGAGTGATGTGATGTGCATGTACATTAGAGGGTGGGGGAAGGTGCCAGTAGAGAGGGAAAGATTAAAGATGTGAGTGAGGGAGCGTAGGATGGAAGAAGAGGGTGATCGTAGGAGTTGTGAGAGGACAGGGTCAAGGGGGCAGGTGGTGAGGCGGGCTTCTGAGAAGACCTTAGTGACCTCTTCAGTAGTAGCGAGGTCGAAGGAGTGGAGTGTTGAGGGGGTTTTAGTGTGAGGAGTGCTAGGTGGGGTGGAAGTCTGAGCAGTGGCGAGGTCGAAGGAGTGGAGTGTTGAGGGGGTTTTAATGTGAGGAATGCTAGGTGGGGTGGAAGTCTGAGCAGTGGCGATGTCCCTACGAATTGTGTCGATCTTGTTTTTGAAGTGGTTAGCAATCTCGTGGGCGGTGAGTGAGGTACTGGGTGGAGGTGGGGGCGGAGAGAGCAGGGAGTTAAAAGTAGAGAAGAGCCAATGAGGACTGGAGAAGGTATTAATGAGGGTAACAAAGTAGGCTTGCTTGGCAGCGTGAAGGGAGGAAGTGTACGTTAGGAAGGCAGATTTATATCAGGTGAACGCTTGTTGGAATTTGGTTTTTCGCCATAGTCGCTCCAGTGCACGACTGCGTCTTTGAGATTTTTGGTGTGGTCAGTCTGCCAGGTTGTAGCGGTCGGGGTCTAATGCTTCGTGTTGTTGGGGGTGCTAGCGAGTCTAGAGAGGTTGACAGCGAGTTGTTATAAACAGTAGTGGCCAGGTCAGGGCAGGACAGGGGAAGGATACTGTCATAAAGTTGGTCAGCTGCAGAGTGGAAAGGGGCAGGGTTCAAGTTGCGGAGGTTTCTGCTGGTGATAGTTTGACGTTTGGAGGGATAGGTGTTTGAGGACGAGGAGACGGAGAAGGTAATGAGGTTGTGATCAGAGAGAGGAAAGGGGGTGTTTGTGAGGTTGTTGGGAGTGCAGAGATGAGAGAAGACAAGGTCTAGGGTGTTCCTGTTGGAGTAGGATATTAGTGAAACCATAGAGGATTACAATAAAAGAAGTAGATGAACACTTCATTTATGTGTTTGCTTTGCCCTGTGGATATCCTTACAATGTTGGATTTTAAAAGCTGTTTGTGATGACCGAGAACTCGGAGAACTTGTGATTTTTGTGAAATAAAGAAATAGTTTGGAGTAGTAATTATGTGGGTTTTCATATAAGAGGTGCAGACATACATGTATAGCAAGAGAAAGAATGCTATAAATAATATGAGACAAGATGTAGGTGATTGCCAGCACAGATGCAGCATAAACAGAGACATATGTCAATATTTTTGCAATCCATCAAATGTGGGAATAATTTTAGAAATACTATATATATATCTCAACATAGTATAAGTAGGTTTACTAAAACATTACTATATAAATAGGATTAATGATGTGGAAAAGGACCTAAGTGAACTATTAGTGAAATGGTAGGAACTGAAAGCAATAGACAGAATGGAATGGGTTTAAATTATACAGGAAGATATGCTACTTTAAGTCAGAGACAGAGAGACAGAGGCAGATGGAGTGACAGAAAAAGCTCAGATCACTTACGCCGGCCATAGATGGTCTGACTCCTGGCCTGTTCATTCGAACCATGTATGGGCAGGTTGAATGTGCCAAAGTTGATTGATCGATCAACTTGGGTACAACTAGCCTGCCGGATTTTATGTGTGATTATCGCTTGTGGCGATTATAGCTGCTAGCAATAATCACTTAATCACTGTGTTCTCCTGGCTGGGATGGCTTCCACCATGTTCCCCTCCCCCCCATTCTAGCAGAACACAATGGCTTAGTGGGAGGGATTCCCCTGTCAAAGCTATCTGTGTATGGCCTGCCTTAGTCTGATTTTTTTTTTTAATCACATTATAATTCATTTTCTTAAAATGTTAAATTCATTATATCACAACTGTTACTTAGCTGTGGAATTGTTTGTGGGCCACATGACATGTATATTTAAACCTGTACTCCAGGCAAAGTTAGCTGTTTTACCACCAAAGAATTCATATTTCTGTCCATCCAGTCCTTATATGTTCTCAGCTCTGACACATCATGCTGTCATGTTGGGCAGGGAGGACACCTGATAATTCTGTTGTTCAGGAACACTTGCAGGTGTCCTCCCCACCCAGTGACAGGGTAGGGACTCTGCTCTTCATTCTTGTCAGTATGGTCCTTGGACTGCAGCACAACTAATTATCTCCTTCTGCTGCTTCTTCTTTCCCCAGTCCACGTTAAATAACCAGAATTGCCCCCCCCAATAGACTTAGGTGGGGGTCGTCTTAAAGTTTGCTAACTTCAAACTGTGAGCAAGGTTTGTGTTCATGAACTGAACCTAGGTAGATTCATTCATCCCTAATAGGACGGTAAGAGTAGAAACGGTTGACACAAAAATAACCCATCTGAAATGAAAATGGAAGTTGCTATCACTAAGATCTCTTACTGCAAATGCCAGTTGCCTGGCTATCGTGGAAATACAATGGCTTTAGTACTTTCTGAGGCATTTGCCTGGAACAGGGGTAGGCAACCTGCGGCTCTCCAGCTGTTGCAGGACTACAAGTTCCATCATGCCTCTGCAAGTCATAGCTGTAACTGTCAGTTTTGTAATGTTGCAATGCCTCATGGGAAATGTAGTTCCACAACAGCTAGAGAGCCGCAGGTTACCTACCCCTGGTGTGGAACAAGTATGCAGAGCAGGACACATGTCTTCACTGTCGCCCTATAATAATGATACTTTTTACAGGTCAATGTCTGAAAAACAATGGAAAATAAATGCAAAATTAAAGACAAGGAGTATCTTGATTAGGTTATCCCTCTGCTCCCTTTTCCTGTCAGCATGTTCATGTGTGTACTGCAGCAAAATGAATAGACAAGCAGGCAACTACTATTCTTAGAAGATGTTTTAGTAGCGACAGCTCACATATTCCATTGACTACTCTCACTCCTACTACTCCCTGCCTTTTTAGACAGCATATCCGGGTCTGAGACCTCCACTCCAGCTTTAGTACTACAGCAGGACCCCTTTGCACCCCCTTTTTGGTGATTGGAAAATAATGGAGTAGCAAAATGCTGAGCAGGTCATCCCTCTGCTCTCACTTCTTGTCAGCATATTTATTACCAGCACATGTGCACTGTAGCATATTCTGACGGGTTCCTTATGCTGGTCTTCCTTCTCCCAGTTGAAGTGCTGTCCAGGGAAATATTGGAAGTTGTTATCAGAACAACTTCAGCAATGTACACTAGTTGCATTTAAAAATATGTTGCAAGAGGTTTGTATTCTTTTTGAATCTTGGTTCCCTTTGTGAATTTCTTTCAAGTATGAGCCGTAATCAGCAGCATGAAATAACTCCCACACTTTGTCTCTGCGCTACAGCTTCCTGTAATAAAGACCAGTCACTGCTGCTCTCTCTTTGGGCCAGGTGACTGGTCTTGTAGTGCCCCCTGTGGTTTCTGCAAGCAACTTGTATTGGGATGTCCTCCTTGATCCCTCCCACAGGATATGTTCTGATGTCTCCACTTCTTTTACAAGGTGATATTTCAGTTTGCAAAATGTACACAGAATGGATTTATAGCCTTTGTGGCTGTTGAAGAATAAATGTAAATAATAGTTTATGTGCCTGGAGTTCAGCTTTAAGTAATAGTACAGTTGTAGCTTAAAATACATACCGACCATCCATGAACTATTATCACTAGAGGAAGAGAAGCATTAAAGCCGCATTGCTCCAGAGTTTCTAGCTGAAGTGTAACAATCTTACACATATTTTTTTTGTCTCTTTCTTCATTGTATAACAAGAACTTGGTCTGTACATTGCTTGGGTCTCTTTTACTCTCCACAGCTCTTCGAAGTTCTTCCTTATATCCTAAAAAAAAACAAAGAAAATATTTTTAATTATGAGGCCTTCTATTAATTATAAGTCCATCGGTACTTCCAGTTCTCCCATAGTCCCCCTGCAAAGTCCCACAAATACCGGTTGAGACAGTTTAGTCAAATTAATACATCTTCCTGTGATGGTGTAGCTAAAAAAGGCTTGGATTATTTTTTAGATACACAGAATATAACTGGATACTAACATTTATAGATAAAGTTGATCCAGGGAATATCCGATTGCCTCTCGGGGGATCGGGAAGGAATTTTTTTCCCTGCAGGAGCAAATTGGTTCATGCTTTGCAGGGTTTTTTTTGCCTTCCTCTGGATCAACTGTGGGTATAGGATCATAACTTTTTTTTTTTTTAATGGTTGAACTGGATGGACTTTTGTCTTTTTTCAGCCAGACTAACTATGTAACTATATGTAACTATGTAACTATGATGCGGCACTACTCCTGAATTCAAAGCAGAAGTACTGTTGTTATGTAGACTTTGTCAACTAACTGTGCAGGGAACGTGGCTAATGGCATTGTCATTGCTGATTCACAAGTTTATCAATCAGCACTTGGACACACCTAGTTCTGCCCATTGCTTTCTGAATTGACAGCACTGTTTCTATTGTTGAAACCTTGAAATTTTGAGCTGCAGTGTCTGGGAGGGGAAGAGAGTGAAATAGCGGATTTGGCACAGTTAGGAAAGATAAAGGAAGTTTTTCATTTACTTTATGATGCTTGTGCATCCCTTAGTAACTTTATTTACTACCTGTCTAGACTACCATACAGGAACCTGTTGTACAGTGGAAAGTGCTTCTCATACAGTGTATCAGTAGTGTCCCAAGGCAGCCCGCACCGGGTGGCACCTACCGCACGGGGTGACACTGGACCCGCTCCACGAACAGGTAAGTTGTAAAGAAAGCCGATGATCCCCGCAGGATAGATCCAATTCATCCTGCGGGGATCGTCGGCTTTCTTTACAACTTACCTTTTCGCAGAGTGGGTCTGGTGTCACCCCGTATAGGTTGCATGCCGACTATCCCCGCACGATGGATTGGATCTGCGGATTAGGGAGCATAATGGATCAGACTCCGATCCATTATGCTCAATCTGCAGATCTGAACTATCCTGCGGGGATCGTCAGCATGCAACCTATACGGGGTGACACCAGACCCACTCTGCGAAAAGGTAAGTTGTAAAGAAATTCGACGATCTGCAGAAGTCCGATCCATTATGCTCAATCTGCAGATCTGATCACTTCTGCAGGGATCATTGGAGGTGGTGTCACCAAGTGTTATCGCACCAGGTGACACCAACCATAGGGACGCCCCTGTACTGTATATTTGGCTAATTAAAAAGGCAGGAAAAAGCGTCCTTTTAATTTAAAGGAAATATTGCACATCTGCAATATGTAACTTTCTCTATTATTTTTAACGAAACATTCCGAATAAAAAAAAGTTAGGGAACTTACCTTGAGACTCTACACAGCTGACACAAGTGAGACAGAAACGAACAGTTAGGCCTTCTGCACACTTGAGCTTAAAAAAGCTGCTTTTACAGGCATTTGCCCTCCTGAGGATTTCCCCCCCTTCATGACCAGGTCATTGTTTGCGTTACGGCGCTGTGTTACTATGACTGACAATTGTGCGGTCATGCAATGCTGCACACAAATTAAATTTAGGTACTTTTTTTCCCACGAATTGAGCTTTCTTTTGGTGGTATTTTATCGCCCGTGATTTGTAATCTTTTGCGCTATAACAAAAAAAGACCGACAATTTTGAGCAAAAAACAATATTTGTGACTTTTTGCTATTAAACTTGTCCAGTAAAAAAATTTTAAAAAACAAATTTCATCATAAATTTACACCAAAATGTATTCTGCTACATGTCTTTGCTAAAAGAAATCCCAACACATGTAAATTAATTGGTTTATGTGAAATGTATAGCATTTACAAATGGCGGTATATATACTGGAGTTTTTATTTATTTTTTATTTTTACTAGTAATGGCGGCGATCAGCGACTTATAGCTGGACTGCGGCAGACATTATGACATTGGGGGGAACAGACTTGGTGTCCCTAACATCCCCAGTGACACCAATACAGTGATCAGTGCTAAAAAAAAAGCACTGTCACTGTACTAATGGCACTGGGCACAAAGGGGTTAACCGCTTCCCATCTGCCCTATAGCAGAAATACTGCTACAGGGCAGCACGGATGCGCAAAATCACATATATATATATATATATATATATATATATATATATATATATGTGATTTTGCATTTCTGGGTGGGGGAGCGTGCAAGTGCCCTAACCGCACCGCGATTAGCGACTGTCAATCACCGGGTCATGGCCCGTTAATTACTTGCCAGCACCCAGTGATTTCTGAAGATCTCCGAAGGGGAGGAGGACTGTTTTGTTTACTAACAGTTCTCCTTCCTGTCAGCTCAGCACAGCCACCCAGTGTGTTTACAGTGAAGCACACAGACACCGACCCCTAGTAAAACACTCCCTGAACACAGTTAACCCTTTGATCACCCCTCATGTTAATCTGCCTCTAAACACCCCTTTAAGTTAACCTATCCATGCACAAATAAGAGTTTAGAGGAATTTAGAGTCAATGGTGTTTAGAGGCAGACAAAAACCCCATCATTTGTGCATTCAGGAGAGGAGATTTTGAGCATAAAAATTCTCAAAAGGACTTGTCAAAGACTATAATTTTTTTATACTACACTTTTTTTTTTTATGAATGAGTAGCGCTGCCATATACTCTATGCTCATTTATTTAGGCGGGGGCCTGGGATCTTGTTAAAGGGAGCTTCCAGATTCCAATAAGCCCCCCACCCACAGACCCCCAGAGCCACTATCCACGGTTGGGGGAAGAGGCCCTTGTCCCCATCAACATGGGGACAAGGTGCTTTGGGGGGGAGGGGCATGTGGCCTGGTATGGTTCAGGGGGGGTGCTCGCTCATCCCCCCTTTCCTGACCTGCCAGGCTGCATGCTTGGATAGGGGACTGGTATGGACTTTGCAGGGGATCCCCACATCATTTTAAAAACATTTTGGCAGGGGGGTTTCCCTCGAAATCCATACCAGACCCAAATGGCTTGATATGGATGGGGGGGGGGGCAAAGACATTTTTTTGCAAATTTTTTAATTGCAGGCAATTATTTTTTCATTCAGCTGTCAGCTGGAACCCCGCTGACAGCTGAAACATTAAAGAATGTTTTCACTACTAAAATACCGCATGAATTAATAATATAGCTCATGCGGTATTTTAGTAGTTTTTTTTAAAATGCTGTGCGATATCTTACTGCATACTTGGATGTGGTAAGATACAGCTTAGTGAATTGTCCCGATTCGAAGTTTGTGGTTGAACTTTCATTAGGTTCAAATATTTGACCGTGAACGGAACAGGGGGGTGTTCGGCCCATCCTCAGTAACTACATTTTATTACTGATTTTACCATTTTTATCTCACATGGATCTCAACAGTATATAGTAAAATCCTGAATTTCAATAATTATCTATATTCTTGGGGTACAGTTGCTAAATGGGGGGATTTTTCATATTTCCCTTTCCTAATCCCTGTAGCAGAGGACTACCTTAGAAAATCTTCCTGTATTTTTGTGTCCTCTTTGTCTCCAACAACTGTTTTACTTATGCCATTTGTAACTTTTGTATTTTTTTGTACATGTGCACTGCCTACTATTTTGGGATCCTAAATATAAAATAAACTCTTAAAACAATAAAGTATTTTTGGAAAAAAAAATTAAATAAAATGAACATATTATCCATTTTTTCGGTGGTACACAAGAAGTCAAAGAAGACAGACTGAGTCTTTTGATGTATATATCTTCACTAACCTTAAAGGTAAAAAGTCAGGTTTTAACTAAACTTTTAACTGTTATTAAAGTAGCAGATGTTTAAAAAACCCCTATGTACTAGACTATTATTCCTGGGAAACAGAATGTCAGGTGAGTGGATAATTCACAAGTCCACACTTTCTGAGTGGTGGAAGCCTATGTGTGTGTTTTTCCCATGTCCAGATGAATGGACTCATGTTATTGCATTGCTGGCCAGTAAGCTTTTGAATTTTTTTTAAGAACAATTTTTTTTTCTCTGCATCCCCCAGTCAATCACTGTTATTTAAAACCATTGCAATGTCATTAATTTAAATATTGAAAAGGCCTGTGCACAATACTTATCCTTGTTAAATATTACTTCTAATTTTTACCCATCTTGAAAATATTCAGCTCACAGCTACTGTATGCATAGGGGGAGATTTAATAAAACTGGTGCACCCAGAATCTGGTGCAGCTCTGCATGATAGCCAATCAGCTTCTAAGTTCATCTTGTTCAATTAAGCTTTGACAATAAAACCTGGAAGCTGAATGGTTCCTGTGCAGAGCTGCACCAGATCTTGCACCAGTTTGTTACATATATACAAAGTGTGTTATGTATTATAGTCTCTACATCATCACATGTTACTGGCTCCTGTAAGAAGCACTAGCAAGTGTTCTTTATCAAAATACAATGCATTGAGAGCACTTATCAAAGTTTGCTTCAAAGCCCATTTGTGGGCATTCAGGGAAGCAGACCAGTTATTTACAAGGAACAGCAGGAGATTGGGTAAAATCTGGTTCAAATGCTTTAACTAAGGGCTCGTTCACACTTGGCTGTTTTACCAACGCTTGCCAAACGCCCCCATAGAGTTTGGCAAGGGTTGGTCTGGCATTTGCGGAGCGTTTTTTTACGCTCGGCAAACGCTCCGCAAACACCGCAGGCACGGTTTAGCGGAAGTTGCTAGGCGTTTGCCGAGTGTTAAAAACACCCCACAAATGCCTATAATGCAGTTTGAATGGTGTGACCGTTCCGCAAACACCCGCAACCGTGTCGCA